CCCCCCCCCCCCCCACCCCCATGCACACACGCCTATCCAACCCTTATTCTCCCGTGTTTTAGGTTGTTTATTAATAAAAGCTAATGAAATATTCATGTCAATAATCCAAAAAATTTGAGATTTTTTTAAAAATACCCCAACATTACATAACAATCCTTCCCAGAAATTCAATATAGGTACAATAATACTCCAAGAATCTACGATCAATAGATTCTGAAGGTAAATATTGAATTTTCGGAAGTGTTGGTGATATAATTATGTTGTCTTGAAGTATTTCAATGATTTTTTTTTTTTTTGCATAATGAATGAAAACTCTGCAGGAAGTTTGAGAGGGAATTCACAGCCGAGCTTCAGAGCTTAGGACCAATTTTTAGCAGTGGGTCTCGCGCAGAGCCATATTTAACTCATCTTGCACAGTGGATACTTGGGGTAGGAAATGACCAATAAGTTGCATTGTTTTTTTGTTTTTGTTTTTCTGATTACTAATTCTTTCGCCATTCATGTTGAATTGGTTAGAGCAACTCCAATGGGAGGGGTATGTGAAAGGGTAAAGAGAAATAATTGTGATGTATACCTCTTTTCATTAAAAATCATTCTCCAATAGGAGAGGTAAATAAGGAGGCATTATAACTTCTTCAATTTTGAAGAGGTATCTTTACCTTCTTCATTTGGGGAGGTATATAAACTTTTCCTTCCTTTTAAATTCATTTAATCAATTACTTTAGTTATTGTATTTTTGCTTGAATGCATTATTATAAATTTTTTTAATTTGTATCTTTGTAATTGTAAAACTTAACGAGTCAAGAATTAACAAAAAAGGATACTTTGTTTTTTTAATTTTGCACTCTGTATTTTTAAGTTTTTTCTATTCGGGTATTTATAATTTTACATGTGCAATTAGTCATAATGTATATTTAATTATTTCAAAATTGACATTCTAATTTTTTCCCAATAAATTAGTGGTATTTTTATAAACTCTTTAAATTTAAAATTTTAATCAAGAAGAAACAAAGGCAACAAACTTCAAATTTACCTCCCCATGATTTTTTTAAGAATGTTTTCTTTTCTAATAATTAAAATTTGATTTAAGTAGGCAAATCAATTGATTTTTTCCCAATAATGTATGGAGATGGATTTTTTCCCCTCTTTTAACTTTTGATTTACCTTCTTTTCCCTCTTTTACCTTTTGATTTACCTTCTCCCATTGGAGTTGCACTCTTTTTGGAAAGGTAAACTTGATTACTTGGAGAGGTAAATGAGATATATACCTCTCCAAAATACCTCTCACCATTGGAATTGCTCTTACGTCATTAATGAAAGTTTGATTCAAAAGTTTCCACTTTTCAAATATGTTTTTTTCTCTTTACCCAATAATCAAGTTGTATTTTGAGCCAAAATGTGGAATAGAAAGTTGAAGTTGTGCAATCTATACTCACTGGTGCTTTCAAGAATGCTCATTTCTTTTGGTCTTTTTATATTTAGTTTTTCTTATTCTATTCATTTTATCTTTGAAATAACACTCTTATATGTGAGCAATGCTCATTTTACTAGGTAGGTTGTACTCCCCTTGTCCAATTTTAAATTGTTTGTTTTCCTTTTTTCCGTCTCAAAATAATTTATCTATTTCTTGTTATCGTAATATTTTAAGAGTAAAATACTTAAATTATCCCTAAAACAAGTCACTTTTTCCACTTTATCTTCTCATTCATCGTCACTCCTAAAAAATAATAGCAATTTCGAAAAGTCGACTCTATTTTTTCTCTTCCTTGAATATCTCCAAAGTCAAAACGAGCAATTTAAAACGGGAGAGAAGGAGTATGTACTTACTATGCAAGGACCTAGGAGGCGTGTTTTGGCATAAAAATGAGAAACATATTTTATCTTGTCTCTAAATAGAGCTTTTATTCTTCTTTTTGAAATGTTCCAAAGTAAAATACTCATGTTCTCTAAAAATCTTTTTGAAATGTTCCAATGTTTTTTTTAAATTGTGTGCAATCAAAGCGGGAGTCATTATGAGACGAAGAGAGTATTTTGATTTGAGTAAGTTTTGTAAATCATCCTTTACAATATGTGATTTCTGATATTTAGTCTCAAGTTATATGATACTCCGTATTATATTCGCAGTTCTCGGTTTTTATAAACTATTCCATAATTAGACTTTAAGCCAAATATGATCAAATAATTTTTTACCAAAAATAGATCCCAAAGAACTAGTTATGAAATACTCCGTAGTTTTTAAAAATTGAGGACCATAAATATGATATTTTAGAATTGGGGATAACATGTGGAAAATCATATATTAGAAACATTTGTTTATGAGATTTACTCTATTAATTATGTTGTTCAAGTGCTTTTTTTTACAAGTGTTAATCACTTAATCTCATCCTCACTTACAATTGGTGAGAAATTATTCCCTCACATTTACTGTTCTTTTTCTTTCTAACCAAACACCAAATCAATTTTCCCCTACCTTTTTCCTTCTGCATTTATAATACCAAACATAGTGTAAGCGTCCCCCAAAAAACACAGTTTATAGGCATCCCAAAGCAGCAATTCACAAGGAAGCATATGACATTAAGGCGGGTTCTTAAGCGACGCCTTCCGGTAACGTACATTTTCAATCTCCTTGTCGAGGGATTCCAGGATGGTGTCGGTCACATTGTTTGGCACACACCCGGCGTCCAACATGAGCTTCAAAAACTTGTAGGCTTCCTCAAGTCTCCCCGCCCTACTGTGAACCTCAATAAGAGTGTTGTAAGTGACAACATCAGGATTTATCCCCACCCTCTTCATCTGTCCAAAAACCATGTTTGCTTCGTCGATTCGGCCCCCTTTCCCCAGCACGTTAATCAACGTGTTGTACATCACAATGTCAAGGTACCCTCCCCCCTTCTTCATCAGTCTATCAAGAACGGCGCTTGCCAGATCAGACCTACCCATCTTTCCTAAACCTTGAATGATCACGTTGTACGTTGCTATGTCTGCTGGACAAACTTTGTCTCCCATTTCATGGAAAACCCCCCACGCTTCATTGAGGTATCCCTTCTTGACAAACGAACTCATCATGGAGTTGTATGTGTAACTGGTGGGGTCCTTACTCCCCGCGTTTGTGAAAATCTCGAATAGTTTACAAGCTAAGCTCAGTTTCCCCTTGGCGAGGAATATGGACAGGAAGGTATTCACCATGTCCATGTCGAATGAATCTTGGTTCTTACCGTTAACGCGTTTTCCTTTGGAAAGTGTGAACATATGGGGTTGGAGAGTGTCCAGGCTCGTTTGGCTGGCTAGAAAATCCATGTAAGGTGAAGATGACCAAGGGTCAGTTTCATTATCACCGGCGTAAGCCTCTCTCTCTACTGAATCTCCAGTGCCTAAAACATCGGTGAAATTGCCCTTATATGGAAACATTGGGGTGAAATCCTTTTCCTTGCTCTGTCTAGCTTCTAGCATAGCCTCCATGGAGGCTTTCCACCTTAAAACAATGGGAACTAAGTTGCTATCCCTAATGTGCTTCATAAGCCTCTCCATACAGTCCCAGTGCCCCTCGCGGTAAATTGCAATCAATAGTGAAGTGATAGTGACCAAATCAACAGTAAAACCTCTGCCTTCCATCTCATTCACCAACTCCATTGCTTTCTCAAGCATGCCTTTCCGGCAGAGATGCAAAACAACGATGCTGTAACTAATCCCATCCACGAAATTGTTGCTCTTCTTCTTCAGATCAGAGAAGAGTGTATAAGCAGCCACATCCCTTCCGTTCTTAAACAAGCCATCAATGAGAATGTTATAGGTCCAACAGCTGGCACGAACACCATCTTCTTCAACCATTCTCTCAAACAGATTGCATGCATCCGTTAACTTCCCAGCCTTCATCAATCCATTCATGAGTGAGTTATACACAACCGTATCCGCGCGCAAGCCGTTAAACTTCATCTCACTGAAAATCTTCATGGCATCGTTCACCATGTACGACTTCGAGCAGCCATGGATGAGAATTCGGTAAGTGAAGTAATCTGGTTCCAGACCTGAGGAGTTCTTCAGCTCTTCCCAGACAATGAGAGCATCCTTCACTTTCCCCAGCATGCAGAGGACTTGAATTAGGCTGTTATAAGTGCAGATGTCAGGAGCAAATGCATCACCCCTCTCCTTCATCTCCTTAAACAGTATCAGAGAAATCCCCAGATTTCCCCATAGACCAAAAGCATGAATGCATATATTATAACCCCATCTGTCTAAGGGGTAAGGATTCTTCCTTTCTCTGAGCTTATCAAAGATATGCACGAATTCAGCTCTCATGTCAGCCTTCTTGAGACCAACCAGTAGTTCGTTACACGAAATGGGATCTTCTATGAAATCCCCATTCTTACTATCATCAATACTAGAATTGGAGTCTAATAGCTTCAGGAATATGGATAAAGCCGTGCTTAGCTGATTCTTACGGACAAGCGCTATCACAACGGAGTTATAAACTACATTGCTCAATCGACTGCGAGCAATGTCGTCCCTGAAATTGCTTTCAACTAAATCCAGAATTTCCAGCGGGGAGTCGTACTTACCGGATCTGATGAACGAGTGGAGAAGCAATTTGAAGGTGGCGGAGTCGAGCTGAGCGCCGTCGCGCCTCATGGAGTCGAGGAGGGCGGCAATCTCCTCGCGGTGGCCGCCGCAACGGCAAAGAGTTCTGAAAATCTGGGAGTAGGTGGCGGCGGAGTGCCTGAATTCGGGGCGGAGAGAGCACCATCGGAAGAAATCCAGCTTGTTGGAGACGTGGAGGGAGTTGCGGCGGAGGACTCTGAGGACGAGATCTTGTGAGAGGGAGATGGATCCATTAGCGCCGTCGAGGTTCCGCGAGCCTCCCGGCGCTGAAAGAGCTTTGGCTATGGAGGCGACGAGGAGGAGATTCCCAACTCTGGAGGTGAATCTCCTCCTTGCTGCTATCATCTGCTCTACATCCCTCTAAACTCTCTTCCTCAAAATTATATTCTCATTTCACTTATATACTTTTTAATAAAACAATTACTCTCCTTTTGAATTAAAGTATAAACAAATATTAAACGGACCAAATATATCAATAGTCGTAACTAGATACAGGTATTGTTGGATACTAAAAATAAAAATTATAACTTCAGTAAAAATTGTATCCAAAAATCTTGACGGATACTAGAAAGACATTTTTTGTATTTTTAATTATAAGTTCTATATATTTCATTTTTTAAAGTTTACACTTATACTAAAATAAATTAAATTAAAAAAGAATGATAAATTCATTTCCAAATGAAAAATATTAATTATACATAGATGCAGAAAAAAAGGGTTTAAAAAAAATGAAAAAAATGGTTAGCGAATGGGCTTTAAATGTACAAAAATGTAATTCTTTTTCCTTGCCAAAATTAGCAGCTTGGTCTTGCAAATATGTGGATTGGGTATAGGGATGACAATTCAACCCGAACCCGACCTGACTCAAACCCGAATATTTTATAACATAAAAGCCTATCTATGCATATAATGAGCACTCCGTATAATCTCTTGAAAAAGTGCTACTATATCAAGTATGCCTTATATAATCATTTTTAATCATTCCTTAATAAAAAATGAGACACACAAAAAGAGACACAAAAAAATTAGATTTAATCCTTTTAAAATATTGGGTTACTTCGAATTTATTATTGATTAAAAGTCGGGTTCGGATTTTGGATTGAAATGCCGGGTTCGGGTCGGGTCGGGTTTTTGGCTTAAAATGTTGGGTTTCAGGTCGGGTTCGGGTTTCGGTTTTAAAAGTCAGGACGGGTTTGGGTATGGTACTATCCGTCCCGAACCCGGCCCATTGCCATCCCTAATTGGGTAGCGAATGGTTGTTCTCCACTCTTATGCGTTGGGATGGCTCCTTGGCCTTCAGACGCGTTCTAATTTTGTATTTCTATTTTTCTAATTGGTCTTAAATTTGAATGTACAAAAGTGTAATTCTTTTTCCTTGCCAGATTTTGTTGATTGAATTCTAAATGACACATTGTAAATGAGTCACACTCTGTTGAATGTCAGTGCGAATAGACTGATTCAACGAAGTACATTACGTTTTTCAGAATAGTGTATTGAGTAATCGAAAGTTTTAGGGTACCATGGTTGTAACGGATGATTAGCATCTTTGGTCCTAACATTGGATCGGGTAGTGAATGATCGTTCCCAACTCTTATGGGGTTGGGATGACTCCTTGGCCTTCTAACGGGTTCTAATTTTTTGTTTCTATTTTTTTAATTGGTCTAAAATTTAAGTCTACGAAAATTGGTCTAAATGACACGCCATAAATGAGTCGAACTTTATTGAGTGTCAGTGCAAATAGACTGATTCAACGAAGTACAATACTTTTTTTTTTGAAATAGTGTACTGAGTAATTGCAAGTTCTAAGGTACCACCGGGTGTAGCGAATAATCTTTCTCAACTCTTATGGAGTTAGGATGCCTTTCTAACTTTTTTTCATTTTTTAATTGGTCTAAATTTAAACGTACTAAAATTTAGTTCGTTCTCCTCCACAAATTTTGTTTATTGAATTCTAAAAGACAAATTATAAATGTGTCGAACTCTATTGACTACAACGCAAATAAACTGATTCACCGGAGTACACTACATTTTTTTGGAATAGTGTACTGAGTAATCGCAAGTTCTAAGGTACTACCGGAGTACCGAGTGTAGCGAATGATCGTTCTCAACTCTTATATTATATTTCATATAAAAATATATATGATTTTGAAGGTTTGTACATTAGTGGGTCGATTAGATCGGATTTGGATTTAACCTATTATTAGCGAGTCATTTCGGATTTGGTCAATAAAATCTTTGTTCAACAACTAATGTTTTCGGGTTGGGTCTCTTGCCAAACACAAGGGAGGTCATTTTTCTCCAAATGTGCTTCCTTCTCAGATGTTAGTACAAAAATTAAACTTCGTCTTTAAAAATCTTTCTTTTTTTTATTCGTTCTAAAAAAACTCTTCTCATTTCTATTAAAAAATCACTTTTAAATAAAAAAGTTTGTAAAAAATTGATATATAAAAATTATATCTTAAAAAGAATCCAATTATATTAACTCCAAATTATGAGTAAATATTTATTTATTTTCTCATAATTTATATTGAATGTTAGTACAAAAATTAAACTAGGACAAATAACTCGGAAGGAGGAGTACATAGTAAAAAATGTTTGTGATTTAAAAGCTTTGGAATCGGTTCTGACAAAGAGTAAATTTGCAAGTGCAACTGGATGATGGATTTGGCTTCTTAAATTTCATTCATTAGCTAAATGGTTGACGAAATTTGCCCACACCGGAAGATTTAGAGCTTTATGACCGCAATAAAAACTTGAGGTTTGAGAATCAGGCACGACCTTACTTGAACAGGATCTGTTCTAATCTTTTTTGTTTCTAACTTTTTTCCTTGTTTTTTACTTTAATTTTTTGGTGAAAAAGAGACCCTTTTTCAACATAAATTAAACATTATCTAAACAAATAATTTATATAAAAATTAGATATATCAAAATTATGTCCTAAATAAACTCTCTAATATTATAATTAAATATATTTTTCTTGCAATTTTTTCTCAACACCTACGGGGTTGGGATGGTTCCTTGGCCTTCTGACGGGTTCAAACTTATTATTTTTATTTTTTTTCCTTCGCCTTCTAACATGTTTTAACTTTTTGACAGGTGGTACTGACAAGTTCTAATTTTTTGCTTTTTTTAATTGGGGCTAAATTTAAAAATTCAAAAAATTAGCAGCTTGATCCTACATTGTGGATCAGGTAATGGATGATCGTTCTCAACTCATGGGGTTAGGATGGCCCCTTGGCCTTATGACACGTTCAAACTTCCAGTTTTTATCTTTTTTCTTTTGTTCTAAATTGGTGCTAAATTTTAAAAATAGACCGAATAGACAAGTTCTAACTTTTTGTTTCTAATTTTTCTTTTGTATTTAATTGGTGCTAAATTTAAAAATACAAAAAAATTAGTTCTATTTTCTTGACAAGTTTGTTGATCGACTTCTAAATGACACACTCTAATAGTCGTGTGGTTAGAGTGTGATTAGCAGCTTGATCCTACATTATGGATTGGGTAATGGATGATCACTCTCAATTCTTACGGGGTTGGGATGACTCCTTGTCCTTGTGACAAGTTCTTATTTTTTGTTTCTATTTTTTTCTTTTGGTTTTTAATTGGTACTAAGTTCAAAAGTACTACACTCTCTGGTTCAAAAAACTTTTAATGTTTTGCTTTTTTGGTCAAATAGAGACAGTCTTTGATTAAATTAAACATAATTTAAACAAATATATGATATAAAAATTTGACTATCAAAATTATATCCTAAAATGAATCTAATTATATTAAATTTATATTATAATTACATGTACATTCTCACAAATTATGGTAAAATGGTGTCAGCATTTGACAAAAAAATCAAAATAGGAAAAGCTTTTAGACCTCGATGAAGTAAAATTTAGTTCTTTTTCTTGACAAGTTTTGTTGATCGAATTCAAAATATCACACTATAAATAAGTCGAACTCTATTGAACGTCAGGGCAAATACATCATGGAAACTAAATTTTGAAAATATTCCAACCTTTTGTTTTTATCTTTTTTCTTTTGTTTTTAATTGGTCCTAAATTTCAAGAATAGACAAAATAGACAAGTTTTAACTTTTTGTTTCTACTTTTTCTTTTTTTAATTGGTGCTAAATTTAAAAATACAAAAAAATTAGTTCAATTTTCTTGACAAGTTTGTTGATCGACTTCTAAATGACACACTGTAAATTACTAAATTAGTCGAGTTCTGTTGAACGTCAATGTGAATAGAACGATTCACTAGAAAAGATCACAAATTTTTATTTATGTGTTTTATCAATCATTGGATAATAATATAATCATACTCAGGTATTATCTTTTGTTTAGACTTTTGGTGTGTGTGTGTGTGTATCCCTCCATGAATTTTACTGGGGAAGGAGTATTCATTTTTATTATTTATTTATGATTTTTGAAATAAATAATTACTTGTATTATTTTATTCTTTCTAAAAATGAAATACAAGAATAAATAAAAAATATTCAATTCAGACAAACCGCCAAAATGAAAGGCTGCACATCATAACTTTTTATATTTTGCCTTTTCAGACTCAAAGTGCCTACCGCAACACTCAAATGTCAAATACTTTTTTGGACTATTTGACAAGTCAAAAAGCCAAAATTAATCAAAACCGTCAAAAGTTGCCCAAAAAGCTAAAATTGACCACATGCATGATTGTCGTCTTTGAATATACAAATATATTGTTTACAAACGATTATCGTTTAGACTTTTTATTGTCTCTTGAAAGTCTAGACTTTAATAAAATAAATCTAATAAAATTATGTTTGCATCAATATCTAATATAAACTTTTTTTAAATTAATGGTCATAATTTATCAACTTTGACTGCAAAAAATTAAATCTAGACAAATCTAAGACAGAAGTAGTACTGAGTATAAAATAGTCATGTGACTTCTTATTTTGTAAAACTTTTTATGTAACTTCTGTAGAATATTGTATGTAGCTTTTAAATATACTCCGTAAATTTTATTTTTAAATTTATTCTTATAATCAAATACCGAGTAAATGAAATTTAAAATAACTTAAGTCAAACCTCATAAATCGAAATGAGAAATTCATTTCTAGACAGACAGAGTATTACTTACATAGATGCAGGAAAGTATGGGTGTTGAGATAAAGCAAATGTTAAAATAAGGTCACAAGATAATGTATGAATCCAACTAACAATTGTGGCCAAAGTTATTTACATGTCTGTGCAAGAGGTATGAATAAGTATAAAAAAAATGTCCACTGCCAGCAGTTGAATCCGGGCATTAACACTCTTACATCTCTTCTTTGTTATCTAAGCTACGCACCCCGGCCGGCCTTGCTTGTTCTGTAGATTGCATTCACCAGCAACAGCGGGACTGCCACACTATACATCGGAAAATGGATGAATGGGTTCATCTCGTACGCTTTCGAAAGAGCTCTGCAACTCTGCACACCAAAGTAAAGAAAGGGTCAAGCTAATATGTCCAACAGATACTCTCAAAACTATACAATATTATTCTCGGATTCTCTTTTACACGCCAATACTCTGGAGAATCACTGAAATTTTTATCGCTACTCCCTGAGTCAGCTTCTGATTTAGTTATGTATAATTGTTTTGGTGATACATCTAAAGTAATGTATCTAAATTGGACGTCAGTGGAAGTTTTTTGAATAACTTAATAAATAAACCATAATTGAGTATCCATTCGCGCGCAAAAGAGAATCTAAAGAATCTGGAAGTAATATTGTATAATCGGCAGAATCTGTGATTATTGGATGAATTTTCCCAAAAGCTTACCAGAAAATGAATGCAACATATCATGATGCAAAGCACCAGGAGAAGCTTCCTAATCCAACGCGCACAGAGAAGCCCCATTATCGAATTGCAGTTTTTTCCATGGATCAATGAATCAGACCCCTTCTTTGCATCAGATTCGTCCTCTTTTTTACCCGAAAGCAACCGCAAACTATCTCGGTGCATACCTGCTTCAGCAACCAGTGCTCCAATTACAGAAAGAACAGGCAAAACCACAAAACAAAGATGTGGGATAACAACCACCATTACATCCGGAAACCCTACAGAGTGTGTTTTTTCCTTTGTGGAAGACTTAAATGCCCAACCTCTGTAGGTCATGTATCCCCTTTCTCCTTCAGCGAGACTTTGACCACAAAGCCAAGGGCATAATATGAGGTAAAACAAATAACCAATCACACCACACCATACTTGTTGAACACTGCATAATTCCATCATAATCCATCTTGCATAACATGTTAGTCCTCTGTTATTATAGAAATTCTTATTATAGGTCCATTGGTGCTGTCTAGAAAATGATAATATGATTTTTGGAACAAGAGGAATCGAGAGAATGATCCCACATAAGGACCACAATAATGGGTAGTATAAAGCATCCCATTGACAACTCATGACAATAAATTCTTTCCAATTATGTGTGAGCATAGCACGTTGACCACCAACAGAGAATGGCCGTAATTCACTGAAAGACGATCTTCCTCTGATATCGACAGCCTCAATTTGCAACAAGAATCGGTCAGGTGATGGGTCTTCAAAGGCTTTGAAATCCCACAGAGAAGTATAAAGATCCCCCCTTGATGAGGAGCAATTTCCATTTTTCTCCATTAGAGACTCTGATACCAAAATGAGATTTCTGAGCTTCGAGTCGTAAATCCTTGCCACGACCGAAATTATTTGCAAAGATGAAAACACAAGAGCTCTGATATGGCTGGAGAATGTGGGACCCACTGGCAGTAACTTGTCAGTAATAAAACGAGAGTCAAGTGGGAATGTAGGCAATATAATAGCTCTTCCCTTCACACCCAATCTGAGGTCTAAATCTGTGAAAGAAATGCATCCTCTATCAACAGCCAAGATCCGCATTGCTCTGTTCTTTTTCCAATCCCCCATTTCCCACTCCCAAAAATCATGAACTTCATTGGCTTTCTCCACAGTTGGGTTTTTATGCCTTTCATGGAGGTGATGAAGCCATTTTAAGTTTTTCCCAAATGTTGTGTGCAGATGCCCACACAAGTATACGGACAAAGATTGGTCCATAAATACATTCTTCAAAGTGCTCCCAGAAGACGCTGCAGTAGAAAAGGACAATGGAAAATGCCCAAATGAAATCTTCAGAATTGATTTTGTAGGTTCAGTGCCCCATTGTGAAAGTTCTGAGTTTAAATCAATTATTAGATCATCGGTTGGATGACCAAACAAGTTGGTCGGGAATCGTAATCCTGAAGACATTGTGCTGTCAAACCCAACAAAAAGTATATCGCGTGTGCTGGTCTGGGTGATGGATCACATGTATCAAAGAACGAGAAAACATTGGCATGGCAAAAACTAATCTACCTAAAAAGAAACCACGCTGGAATATTAGTGCAACCAAAGCAAAGTCAAAGCATTTGCCCAATATCTTTGGGTCAAACCACATTAAAAGATTGAAACTCATAACACAAATGAATGATTTCTAGATTGATTGACAACTTGATTTATTTGATGGGAAAAAATAACATTCTGTACAAAAAGTTATTCATTACTCCGTATTTCACATTAGGTGTGCCATTACTAATGGGGTCATCAAATGTGGTATCACAAAATATCAAAACCAATCTAATGTGGTATTTATTGTTAACTTCCAATGGAATCTTCAGATGATGAGGTCATTAGTATCTACACATTCATGAAAACAAACGGTAAAATGTTAATGAACCCATACCAACAGATAACTTTTCTTATTAATACCATCACCATTTTATGCCCCTCAATAAGTCTAACAGCAAATGGAACTGGATAGAGAATAACCTGAAGTCTGACGCTGTTGACCCGTCCAATTCTTCTTAGCTGCCCATTGATGCTATATCGTGAGTAAAAATCAAATGAACCACCAATAGTCCCACCATAAGTATCATGATTTCCTCTTAGATCAAAGAAACTGGTTTTGTTTATCCCACTCCTTCTAATGACATCTTCCATAACTTCCCGATATTGTAACCATTCTGCTTCCTCTTGCTTTGATGTAAGCAAATCCTTGCTTTTTGCATCTGGATGAAGTTAACAAGCTCATATATTTCCAAAATTGCACCAAATAATGTGGTTAAAAACAACTATTGTTAGATGTGTATGGCCATTCATTGGGGTATACATGAAAAATTTCTGGCATCAATATGTTTGAAAACTAAACAATCATAATAATACCCTGTCAAAATTACCAGTAAGGTCACCGGTGATGAGGACGAGGGAAGGATTGATCATGGCGAGAGTGGGGCCGACGATGTTCTTGAAGTCCAGGGCTCTCTCTGGATGGTGTGCGCTAAAGTGCAAATCAGACAGCTGAACAACCCAGGCCACATCATCTGGTCCGCCCTTAAGCTCTATAGACGCGCCCTTGTGGCTTCCATTCCCGGTCACCGGAGCTTCCAATTTCTCGGCGGCGGGCGATGCCGATATAAACGCGACCGCCGTGAAGCAGAAATTGAAGATCACGCCGATCATTTTACCCCATGGCCGTCTTTCTGTCCTTCTTTCCTTTCCTATTTGTGGCGATTCAGAAATGGGAATCGCCATGACCTAGAAGTGCTCAACAAGATTAGTATTTCCAGATTGCAATCTTTCTCTTTAGCCTACTCAGTAGTTCTCATGCTCATTCAAGCATATATTCTTTATTCTTTACTCATTACGATTTTAATGAATTTTTTGGACTATGAAAATTTGTAGATATTCAATTTAGATTTTAAAAATTTATTTAAGTCTAAATTTATTCCATTTAGATTTTAAAAAATTTTCTAAATCTAATAATATTCAAAATTTGATAGACTTTTAAAAATTGTAAAAATGTAAATTTTGATGGAGGTTTAGCTGTTTGGTAAAAATACAAATCACACCCAAATCTAAATGCCTAATTTTGTTGCCTTCAATTTTTCTCCTAAATTGTCTCCCCATCATTTTTTTTGGCTCTTCTATTGTCTTTTATTATAGATTTCTAGTTTAATATAGCAATAGGTTTGAAAAAATGTCAAGAAGAATTGTTCTTATTGGTTTTTCCCTTTTTGATTAAAACAAAGAGTCTATTATATTCCTTTACACTAATCTCTATATAACTATTGACCATCTATTGCATCTACTACTCCATAGAAGAACTTCACGCTATGGAGAAATAACAATGATTATTATTATTGTTCTTTATTATTTGTTATTTATCTTTCAATTTTTAAAGTTTTTAATGGTTGGACCGTAGTATTCTTGCGAGTAGGTTGAAAAGTTTCAAAATTTTCTCTCTACACTTTTTTTAATCACATTCCTTTATTATAAAGTCTTTATTCAAAAAATAGGGAGTAATAAAGAGGAAAGCAGTAAGAAACATATTTTTAAAAAAAATCTTTGCAGTAGATTTAAAAGTTTTAATAGACTTTATTGAACCAAACTTTGTAATAGGTTTAAAAGTTTTAATAGACTTTATTGAAACAATCTTTGCAATAAAGTACTGCAACAAAGCATAGAAGCTAACACTTAAGTCATCTTCTTCATCATACCTTGACATGGAGAAATTTTTTTTTGAAATATTTACTTAAACTCAACAACAACAAACAACAGAAACTAACACATGGAGACATGGCATTGTTGAAGCCATGAGGGCCGATAGACCGCAAAATGATGCTAATGAGGAGAATGAAGAAAGTTTTGGTGATAATGAAGTTCAAATTGAAGATTATATTTAATAATTTTATTTTTCAATTATCTTTAAATTTTAGATAATGTCTTCTTGTGTGTTGTCTTTAGATTTTCATAAATGGGTTTTGACATACAACAAGAATAGTTGAGATATAATAACGATTTTAGTTACATAACAAATTTCCTGCTCATGAGAATGAGCACTATAGGAGTATTATTTTGTTCTAAGAAATATATTACGATAATAATAATTTTTTTATAAAAATAAATTATTTTTATTTTATAATATTATTTTTAATTTTTTAATCGATTTCATAAACAATAGTTTTTTAATAGCTCATTAGAGCATGGACAATGGTGACGCGCAAATAGAATGTCACACGATGATGTGAAACATTTGAACCAATTAAAAACAGTCCAGTAAGCATGTGACAAGTGAGTGGAGTGGCATGTTATGCAGTGGAAATTATTATTTTTTGTCATTTTTTACACTTTTTTGGTGTATTTAAATTATTAAAAAAAATTAACAAATTCCCCCCCCCCCCCC